ATTGCTTCTTCCCAGGAGCTTACTTATAGGAAGTTTCTTGTAGGTGAAGATGCTGGATCTCCTGTTGTGAGAAGTATGGGTCCTGGATTGGCATTCTGGAGGTTGACACCCTCTACAGAAGAGTCTATGAGAAGACACACTGTTCATTATTCAGGGATGTGTTTATTAAAAGGAACCCTTCCTGGTTGACTTTGGGTGGTGGCTGCTTAATGCCATGGAGACTGAAAAGTCTGTCCTTAGTTTATTAGTCAGAAGAATCAGTTCTCCAGTTTGTAGAATTCTCAGCTAGTATAAGAAAACAAGTGGCTGACATGATCTAAACACATAAGAAATATTTGTTGAATGTGTAAAGGAATTCTTTAAAAGCCCCATTGTTTGCTCTTGTTACCATCATAGTCCCATTGTTTAAAACTGAAGAACTTGGCTTTTAAGTTCTAGCATCTTAGGCTGCAGCTTATTTGGAATTCTTTTTGCCTAAGGCTTTAAGTCATTTGGCATCTTTTCCTCCAGTCACGGTTCCTGAATTGATGTTCAGTGTTGTATAATTAACATAGCTTAGAAAGATAACCATGCACATGGCAAGTATATTGGTGACCACATTTATTTCTTGGAGAACATCTCAGAGCACATAATAGGGTAATGCACATTTCAGTTGTAGACAATAATACTGGGATATTTTCAAATTCATTCAATTGAGAAATAAATTGGGTTATTTGATTTTTATTTTGTTTTATTTTGGTTTTGATTTCTTGTTTTCAAGAGAGGGTTTCTCTGTGTAACAGCTCTACCTGTTCCAGAACTAGCTCTGTAGACCAGGATGTCCTCTAACTTATAGAGATCTGCCTGCCTCCCAAGTGCTGGGGCTAAAGGCTTGCACCACCACCACCACCCAGCTTCTATGGCTGTGACTAGCTTTGCATTCTGATCTTCAGTGGCTTTATTAGATCATAAACAGTATTTCACCACATTTTGGTCTAATAGATTGGATTAACCATCATGTTGGCTTTCACAAATGCTTTGTTAATCAAGTTCATGTCTCAGAAGAAGAAAATATAAAAATTGTGATCTTAGAAACATCAAAATGGAAGAGGAGGGATAATTGACCTACGTTTCTAATTCTAACTGCCCTAAATAACTGAACATGCACAAACCTCTCCATTTGCCACTTGGACAATGGGCATTCAGTCTCAAGGTGTGTCAGAAGATGCTGTGGTAGAGAGAATCACATGAACTTATGCTCATGCTTTACATGTTCTGTCCAGTGCCAGATTAGTGGACTGGGCTGCATGCTAGGGCTGTAGCCCATTTGTTCACTCTCATTCCGCTTGAGAGCACTCCCTGGGAATTAGAGTGATACCAGGCCATTGAAAGTATAGTCAACCAAGGACCTGGAAGGCAAAAAGGAAACTTGAGTGGGAGAGACAGAAAATCATCCAAAGCCGCCTTTAAACAAAGGAGTTGTCACACAGTGTCCTTTACCAGGTAATCTTTTACCTGACATAGGGAAATGTCCAAAAATACAAATGCTAAGGGTAAAAAAAATATGACTCCCCAGATGACAGTAATATGTTAACCACAGCATCAGCATAATGCCATACTTTGTGTACATCAACATCTGTAGCCATGGTAAATATTGAAAGCAATGCAGCATCCAAGTAGATTTCCACACGATGCTTCTCATCCTTGTCTTGCAGACTGGGTTCCTGGCACATCAGTAGACTTATTCTTGTACTTGAGTTCTTCAGTTGCTGTCTCAGCTGTTTGCCACAAACTGTACTACAGTCTACTGTCTTTTCTCAGGAGCTTTCAATTCAAGGTAGTCAGCTCTCCTCTTGGTAATCAGTGTTAGAATTTGGAAACAATTATTTGAATTAGATGAGTGACCTGCTAAATGTGCTAAAAAGAACAATATAAAACCCTAGAGCAGTATCTCCAGCCTTCAAGAGTAAATTTTTTAAGGGAAGAGTTGCTTCTTGGAAATGACTTCCACTTACAACATCAGAAATGAATTAACACTCCTCCCTTCTCAGATTGTTTATATTGTTGTGTTTCAGTTTGTGTTACTTATTTCTTGTTAATGTTTTTTTCCATTTCTTATTTATTTCATGATTATTGCTTAATTTATTATGTAGGATTTCATTTTGTCACGTGGTTTTGCCTCACTCAAATAGGTGTTTCAGGACTTAGGGCCCTAGTTCTCATGAACTGAAATCTGCTACTGAAAAGGCATCTTTGAGTCTTCTCTGGGTTGAGGAACCTCAGACCTGAAGTTAGTTTGGTTTCCATACTCCAGAGCAACAGTGGGGATTAAGCAGGTCACCTGACTTCTGGGATGTTTCTCTCTTATCATAACTGAATGCCCCATCTATTGTGTAATAGACCGTGTGAACTACAAAAGCTTTTCTGGGCTCCGATCTTTTGTGGCTATGGCATTTGGGTGCTTTTCCTCCTCTGACTTGGAGCCATGATGCCAGCTGAGTCCTTACCTGATGACTTTCACAGATGTGTCCTTGGGTCCCAAGCATGAGTGTGAGGGTTAGTCTTGGTTGCACTGAGGAGCATACAGGGACAGTGAACCTACCTCTGGTATGACAGAAGGCATTTCAAAAGACCATTTGGTATTATCTAACTGACCTTGTCCATGGTATTTCACTGAGGGAATCAGAAAGTAAATAGCCTACCAGAAGATCCCTCCCCACCCCCCCAAAAAGGAGTTAGGCTAGGCCTAATTGGAGGAAGTGGGTCACTAGGAGCCTTTCAAGGGTGCTTCTTGCCTCTGGCCTCTAGTTACTGCCCTTTGCTTCATATCTGCCCTGAAATGAGCAACTATTCTCTGTCGTACCCTCCCTGCCCCTCCCTGCCTTTCCACAGGCCCACTGACAGGGCTCGGCAACAGGACTGGGAATCCTAAAACTTATAAAATGTTTCAGTTGTTTCTGTCTGAAACATTTATGTTTAATACATACCCACCTATATTTATGTTTAATACATACCCACCTACCCCCCACACACACACACATACCACCACCACCACCACCACCACCACCACCACCATTGGGGTTTTAATGACGGTATTGTTGTGTTAACAGTATTCTGCTAAATGGAAAAAAGATTTCCTTTCATCTTCATATACTTACTTTTTATGAGCCTTGGCTTGTAACGATGACTCTTCCCATCACCTGCACAAGCCCCACCACAATGCCAGGGCCCCAAACAACACACAGAGTCTTATATTATTTACAGTGCTGCTGGCCAATGACTAGGATTTCGTATTTGCTAGCTCTATCTTAAATATCAACCATAACTATTAATCTATATATTTTATAAAGACTTATCGAGGATGCCAGCCTCAGCATCCTATCTTCCTGGGATCACATGGCGACTCCTTTCTTTACTACATTTCCCACAGTCCTCCTCCTCTCCTAGTCCTGCCTAACTTGCTTCCCTATTGACCAACAGTGCTTTATTTATCATCCAATAAGACCAACATATATACAGAAGGACTTCCCCCCTCATTGGCTTCCTTAATCTCAGCGATCATGTAGTTTCTAGTTGGTAAGGCTTTTGCCTATTGGGTTCAGTGTTACTTTGAATTTTATTCTTATTGATTATATTGTTGGTAAATATTTGTATGATTTTTTCTTCAGATCTTTAATTTCCTCAGATTCATTTTATGTTTATGGGTGTTTGTATATATGTATATATGTGTACATCATGCATTTCTGATGCCTAAGAAAGGCCTGAAGAGTGCACTGGATCCCAAGGAGCTAGAGCTGTAAATGATCATGAGCTGCTTGAGCTTTGTGGTGTTTTTTTTCTACCTCTGATTTTTTTTTTGATGGATACTTTATGTGATGTATGTAAGATCATATGTCCTATAAACAAAGATGGTGTTTCTTTTCTTTGTTTCTTTTCTTCTAGGTGCTCTAGCTAACACTTATAGCAGTAGGTTGAAAAGAAGTAAAAAAAAAAAAGCAACCATCCGCATTATGTCACATCTTTTACCATTGGATATGTTTTCTGTAGAGTCTCATGTTAGTTTGGCTAGAAATTCTTAGGGAAGATCTTTCTTTTCTGTGCTTAGCCTTGGCAGGTAAGGGACATTGGAAGGATGGATAGTTTGCTAGTTCCCATATGGAAAGCATTAGGATCACTGGATATAGGTTTCTCAGCTTCATATTGGTTCTTCAAATTATTTCCTGTCTTTATGGGGTCTGTTCACTCCAGATTGTAGGTTGCTGTGAGTTAAATATATGCCCAAATACAAATAAAAGGGCCACTGCTTCTCTTCAAGTGAGAGTCAGTCTTCTCATTGTGCTTCAGTTGTTGAGTCTTCTTTTCTCCTATGCAAGCTTTAAATCAGACTTCCATACATCATGCTGTATCAATAAAAGGGAAAGAGTCTCTGTATATAAACCATTCTTTATATTGTGCTGTATGTAGGCAAAGATCATAAGTGATATGATTTAATATTTAAGCAATTTTCAGTATTATTATATCACATATTTTATATGTTATGCTCTACACTTATATTGACAGTGTTAATGATGGTTAGATGAGTTGATGCTTATATGGTGATGTGGTTGATGGTACTTCAATTATTTTTCCTTAATTGTATGCATGTTTGCCAGTTTGTGGTTAGCAAACCATAATGTAGGCACCATCAGAGCCTGGAGATGTTGGATCCCCTGGAGCTGAAGTGATGTGTGATTGTGAGCTGTGATCTTGTACTTTGCACTTTGACAGAGCAAATTCCCTTTACAAATACTTTGTAAACCAAGAAGGGATGCAGATAATAATATACTTTCTTAGGGATATACAATTTATAAGGGACATTTATTTCTTTCATCAAGAAGTAATAATGCATTGTTGGATTGTTGTAGAGAACAATAACCTATTTCTATAGCTGATCCTTACAATGAATGAGAAGTATGTATTTTTTTTTTTTTGTTACCTGGCTTGCAGCCTCAGTAATGGAATGTCTTATTTTTCTCTTGCAGGTTTTCTTTAGGTGATGCTAGGAGGCCTCTCCATGAAACAGCAGTTTTGGTAGAAGATGTGGTTCACACACAACTAATTAACCTGGTAAGATCACATACAACCCTATTTGTTATCTCTTTTTCATCCTGTTTTTATTCTATTTCCAACCCAACATGTTTTTAAAAAGATTTTGTTTATAGCTAGATGTTTTTGATTTATTGAGATATGATATAGTAATGCCTGTGTGGGTACATAATACATTTAACAGTGAGATGTTGCCATGACAACAGCACTTTGAGCCATCACTGGTCTGCCTCTTTTCCCCAGAGCTTTGTTAGAATTCATTAAAATTCTGTTCACTTTAGGTTAAAGAATATTTGCACAAATGTGTAAAGAATTCTCAGATGTTGTTCAGCTTCCTCTGATGTCAGTATCTTACGTAGCCATGACAGTTAAGGAAATGTGTAAATAATCCTGGCACAGTAATTTTTCAACCTTACTCAAATTCCATCCTCTTTGCCACCAATCTCTATTTCTTTTCAGGGACCTAGTCAAGCATACCATACTGGCTGGTACATTTAGTTGCCATGTCGTGGCTGTCTCTGTCCCTGCTGAGCCTGAACATTTTGATTAAGTGGAATGTCTTCTATTCCATTGGTCTGCTCTTAAAATTAGAATGTGGTCACGTGTGTTGAATAAGATTGTTGATGAAGTGATGGGATCTACTCAGTGCCTCGTATCAAGGGCATCCTGTCTTTTTGATGTGTCTTATTGTGACATTTCTTAGAGCACTCATTGAATGTGGAAATGCTGCCTTATTTCACTGTATAGATGTACTTGTTTGGTTGCTTCGCTTTAAAGGGTCAAACTCAGGGTTTTGTGCATGCTAAGTACCAGCAGTAGTACTGAGATAGACTCCAAACTCTTGTTACTACTATTTTAAATATTCAGGTTAGGTTTAGTAAAATACATTGGGATATATGTTTATAGCTATGGAAATAGTTTCTTTTCCTGAGTACTTTCTACCTATTAACATTATAACTCACCAGGAAATTTTACAAAATTATTACTGTAGTATTTTCACAATAGTGATTTTTTTGTTTCTTTTCTGTTTATTACTTGGTGGTATTCTAATTGAAAAGCTGTCTTCCTACCCTGTTTATTATTTTTTGGGTATAACAGTATGGAGAGTTAATATTTACATTCTTTCTAAGGTGTCATTATCCAGTGTTATCACTATCCTTACAATGCAGGCTATTCCAGTGCTGGCCAGTAAGGGCCCATCATTTCTCAGTTACTTCATGCCCCGCATACATTAGTGACCTTTGCACTTCCTCTATGCCATATGGCACAAAGACATCCTTCCAATGTGTTCCTTTTGGTAATTTTCAAAGTAGGCTGTCAGAGATTTTGTTTGGCTTACAAATATTTTTACTGTATTTAGAGGCATCAACCTCTGTTGATGTTGAATTTTGAACCATAAATTCCATTTTATATAATAAGTTTAAAGAGAAATTCATTTACATTCTTTTCTGTTTTTTAATTGTTTCCTTTATATCCTCCATTCTTAACCCCTTTTTAATATATGGAAACAATTTTGTATTTTGCTGAATAACCCCCCCCCCTGTTTTATTGTAAACATTCATTAAATGCCTGCCTTTACCCCAGGGATTTAAACTGTCCTCTTTATCAATATAGGTTTATCTATAGCAAGGTATGTAGTTCTTACTTTGTATTCTGTACTAGTTTATCTGTCATTGTACTCAGGTGACCTTTGCTTATCATATAGGTCTTATAATATATTCTAGAGCTCTTAATGCTACATTTCCCCCCTCCTTTTTCTAACATAGCTCTCTGGTATAAGCATGTCCCCTTATCTATGTTTTCTTTCTATGGAGTCAGTTACATGTAGCTACTTATAGCCAAAAAGTATTAAATGGAGAATTCCAAAAGTAAACAATTAGCCGGGCATTGGTGCACACGCCTTTAATCCCAGCACTCAGGAGGCAGAGGCAGGTGGATCTCTGTGAGTTCCAGGCCAGCCTGGTCTCCAGAGTGAGTGCCAGGATAGGCTCCAAAGCTACACAGAGAAACCCTATCTCAAAAAATAAACAAAAAAGTGAACAATTAATAAGTTTTTTAATTTCAATAAATTGTGAATATTGTGCTGAAAATATACATCACTAGGAAGTAAATCACTTGTGTTCCAATATCTATGTTCTCTGCACCTCTTGTCCATTAGTCGCCTAACTGCTTCCCTAGTTAATGGACTGATTGGTATTACCTAGCTTACATAACTTGAAAGATCATTTTTATTATGTGTACGTGTGTGTATATGTATATGTGTCTGTGTAGATACATGTGCACATGAGTGAAGGTGCCCTTGGAGCCCAGAAGACCTCAACTCACAAGTGGTTGTGACATGCCCAACCATGGGTGCTAGGAACTGACTTTGGATCCTCTGCATACTGAGCCATTTCTCCAGTCCCTCCTAATGTATTCTTAAAGTTGGTTTTTGGTTGTTGAACTCTTACTGTGCCTAATTTATAAATGGACTATAGATATGTCTGCATAGAAAGAGCTTAGTATCCATAGGGTTTGTACTTTCTGCCCTTCCACGGATCCTCTTGAGGCATTTAATGGAACCTAACCCAAGAGGAAGGGGACATTGTTTACTCATTTTTAATGTAAATGCTGCTGTTACCTTGTTCAGTGTGTATAAATTTTATTAGTATGTTTATTGAAATCACATCAGGTTATAACTTAGAATTGTATCTTTAGAGTATTGACTTGTTCTTTGTAAGAACCAGGGATTTGTATAGTTGTTCAAGATTGTTGAAGCTTTTTAGTAGTATTTCACCATTTCCTTTCTTCAGGCTTATATATTTCTTATTTTATTACTTCCTAAGTATTTAATGTTCTTCATTGGCTTTATAAATATGGTTTTCCTTTTGTAATTACATTGTGATTACATAGTGAAAACATAAGTCTACAAATTCAAGATGCAGAGCAAACTGCAATAGGATAAACCAAAGAAATATGGGTTCAAACTGCTAAACAGGTGTAGTATGAATCCTTAAAGCAAGTTGGCTTTCTTAACCAATGGGTAAAGATAATTTAAAGGCATTAGAGTTCTCGTTGAAATCCAGAGGCAAGAATGAAAGGACTCTAAATTCCAACAATGTTACAGATTGACAGTTTTTTTTTCCTCCATTTTCTTCTCCAGCTGTCTTATGCATTTCTATTTTATAGGGATTCAAGTTACATATATCTTATATTTACTATACAGTCTCATATATATCTCAACACATAACTGTGTGTGTGTGATTGTGTTGCATGTGCATGCACATGTGTGCACATACGCATGGAACACAGACTCATCTGAGTATGGAAACCAGAGTTCAACATCAGGTACCTTCCTTAGTTGCTGTCCAGCTCATGTTTTTGAGACAGGGTCTCTGAAATGCAGCTTGCTAGGTCAGATAATCTGACTGGCCAACAAAGCCTAAGCATTGACCTCCTGTCTTAGATTTCTTACTGCTAAGGATTACAGGTGTGCACCACTGTGCCCAAATATTTAATTTAGTTCATGAGTGCTAACAGTTGAACTCTGGTTGTTGTGATTACAAGGTAAGCACTTTACCCTCTAATTGGATCCATTATAGCAGCTATTCAGATTATGTCGTTTGTTCTTCTTAATCTTCTAACACTCTGGAATTTCCCTGAAGATTCAAAATCACATGTAAAGTTGGGTAAGGTTACTTTATACACCACACAAAAATGCAGATTCTCAGGCTATATTCCTAATAGATTCCTTTGTAGGATGCTATGACTAGGATCATAGTTGCTATTTTAAATAGATCTATAAGATCTTCGTAATCTCAGTAGTGCAAAGTGCAGCTTTGAAAATGTAAGTTTAGAATAGTAGTTTAAATCTAGGGCTGGACTTTTGTGGGTGATTTGTGTATGTTGCTACTCCGAGACTGTCAATGGAGTCAGACTTTGGTTTGTAGGGTAGAGTTCACACTAAGCTGGCCATAGTGAACCATAAAGTGTTATGGCTGACTGAGAGGACACTAGAGGGACACACAGGAGGAAGGTGAGACCTAAGGAGATGCTGGGGGAGGTAGAGTAGAGAGTGAGTGACCATTTCTCTGTCACTCCATGTATGTCTCAGGTTTATTTCCCTAATGTTTAACTGCCAAGTTGTATGTTTTAATAAAGCAATAAAAAAGTCACAAAAGCTGTTTAACAGCTTTGTGGAGGAACTTTCCACTGATAACTTTTAACAGGCTGGTAACTATTGTAAGTAGGCACTGTGAAGGCAAGTTTTCCCTATCCTCTTCTTGTAAAGAAGTCTTTTAAATCAATCAATAGAGTAGACCAACCTTTAGGTGAAAACAAAACAAAAAACAAAAAGAAAACAAGGGAAAAGAGTTCCAGGCTCAAAATAACCCCTTGGCTAAAATGCTTTTTTTTTTCCCCCTCTTAAATCTGTTAACATTCTCCATTTTCCAGATTTCTTTTTAATGGCAAATATAGGAGAATTCCAAGGAGTGGCCAGTTCTTCAATATGTTGAGCATCTAGCCACTCCTGTGCCAGCTGTTCTAGTGCCTGTAATTTTTGTGATGTCAAAGGTCGTTGTTCCACCCATACAAGTTTGTTAGTTAACCATTTTAAATGTAGGGCTGTTGGTAACCTTGTTGGTTTCAGCCTTTATACCCTATTTATGTACAACCTGAACTGTCTGTGACTGTTTTTGGTAATACCTTTTTATATTTCTCTCAGAAGCACTCTTTATTTTGTGATTTGTTTCTGAGATTGTAAGAACACTAATCTGTATTTTCCATTGCTGCAACAAATCACATCCCCATAAATTCATTGCTATGGTAGACACATATGGTTTTAATTTCCTATCTGTCCTTCTGACCCTACACATTAGACCTTTAGCACAAGTTCTAATTGGTCTAATCAGGGGAGGGGAGGTCATAAGAGTCTATCATATCCTTTGGGAAAGGGCCTAGGACCACCCCCTGTGTCTTAGCTCAGAGAGTATCCCTCTGTGTGGATTGGGCTCCCAAGGTCCACACCTATGCTAGGGATA